TAGGAAAAGGGTGCCAGATCACGTCTTGAGAAAGCGAAGGCTGCTTGAATTCCATGGCCTGCACACCCAGCCCCATCAACTTTTGGCATCAGCTCTGAGGGTCGAGTGTGTGGGCTACAGGAAACACCGGAAGAATGATTGTTTGAATTATTTCTTTTCCTTTTTTCAAAGAGCTTACATCATTCTCCTGCCGCTGCTCTCCATCTTATCCCCACAGCAACAACCCTGTGAGGTAGGTTGGGCTGAGGGTCTGTGACTGGCCCAAAGTCACCCAGTTGGCTCCACGGCCGAGCGGGGACTAGAACCCAGATCGTCTGAGTCCCACTCCAGCACTCTTCCACTCCACCATACTGGCTCCCAAGCAAAGCCTCTTGGGCTTCAGTCTTCATGGGAACAGGCAAAGACAGAATTGATTAGAGGAGTTATCCTCAAGAAAGTGCCAGGTAAAGAAACCCAGCCACTTACAAAAGCCGCTTTGACTTTGCAAGAACAAAGGTGGGATGTAACTCTTAACAAATCCTCTTAGCCTGATTCATGTCTCAGCATAATCTTGCAGGCCCTGTCAGTGGTACCTTTCTGCCGCAAACATACTGGTGCCACTTTATGCCAGCATGAAAGGGAGCGGATGTGTGAGAGCAGAATGCACAGGCAGGGGGCCGCATTGTTACAAAACAGCGAGCATCAACTGTTTGTTCTGTAATACTGATTTTCATTTCCACCCTGCCTTTCTGCACAAAAAAAGGACAGTGTCTTTCATCGAAGTTGGGTCAACATTCTCAAGAAAATTACCACTGCCATATTCATCAAGATTTCAGGGAATACCTTAATGTTGCACCCTTCAATATTATCAGGAGTAATTGATGAGTATGCACCTTGCACATAAGCAGCACAACAGCCAAGTGAGTTGGAGCATTCCTCATCTCAGCCTTAATCCCAAGGTCGTTTAATGAGCTTCCTAGCTTCAGTAAGGAGTTAAACCTAAACCTCTCCCAGTCAAAAGTCCAGCAATCTCACCAGTACATTGTACATCATTACCAAGAAATTTCAGCTGTTATCTGGAGTCAAGCTGCCCTATTTGGTGCAATATTCCCCATTACAGTCTGGCCATATCCACCCTTGCTGCTGAGGTGGGTGCCATGCCTGTAGCAATCTTAAGCCAAAAAAGCTGACAATTTGCATTTTTAAATTGCATTTTTGATTGCAGCACTTGTGTTTTAGTGTAAAACTGAAACAAAAAGGATGCTTCCCCACCCACTCTTAGTGAAGTGGTCAGAAGTAGCTGCATCAGCTACCCAGCGCCTTTCCTAAGTGTACAATGTTTCTGTGCCTCCCATACTGTGCTTCAGCAGCTGCTGTGCCTTGCCCAGTCTCCTCCCTCCAGGACCAACCTGATGCCTGTTTAGTCTCTTAACGTATGAAAGGATGAGGCATAGGGAGGGAAGATGGACAGTAAATCTCACTGACACAGCCCAAAAATGGTTGGCAGTAGCTCCCAGTTTTCCCCTGCTAGATGAGGGAAGGGATTAAAGTGTCCCTCTTACACACCAGTCCATTTCCCCACTGTCTCCACCGCTGTTGCCCTTAGGAATTCCAAGCGCCCCTTTGCTTGCTCAGACAAGCATTCTTATTTAAAGAAACCCCCCTGGGCAAGAAAGCTGCAGCAGAGCTCCAAACAAGGCGCTCCAGCACTTGGCCACCTGGCCAGAGGACTTCGGTTCTGAGGACAAGCACCTTTATTTGTGGGTCTCGAGTGCGGCTGCAGACACTTCTTATTGGGATACGGCTGTTTTGTCAAGCATTAGATAGCAAACCCATCCTAGCAGGGACTCTTGCGACACCTGAAAGTCCTCCCCACCACTAGGTGCCTCATTAGTTCTTTGCCAGCATGTGCTGGACAGACCAGCACTGCAATTGTGTTCCATGCTGGAAAAAAAGCACTAGCCAGGTCTCTCTCTGAGTTGGTCTCTCTCCACCTGGTGCCTTCAATCCGGTGTTTTGGTCTACAATCCCCAGTATTCCTAACCATCGGCTCTGCTGGTTTGGGCTGGTGGGAGGTGAAGTACAAAACCTCCTGAAGTCACCAAGTTGAGGGAGGCTGTTCTAATGTAAAACGAAAACCAGAGAACAGCAATATCAAGGTTTGCCCTCATCGTGGCAGAGGTATTGTGTGGGTTATCGGTACTGACTCCCATGAGTGGTGGATGTCAGTTTTGGAGATAAAAGGGCTAGTTCGTGTAGAAGCAACGGGCCTCATGAACTACAGAGTTCTCAAGACTGCAGACTAATGCCTTAATCTGGCAGCTCGTTGCCTGTCTGGAACACTTGTACTGCCACTAGATCAAGTCCTCTGGGCCATTAACAAAACTTGGAAATCAACAAAATACTAATTCTGTCCAGTAATGTAAGCATCCGTTTTAAAGCAATGGGCTGGATCTGGATTGGGGTGTGTGCAGCCTTGCTGGTGGAAGCGAGCTGCCAGATGCCCTCCAGCCCTCTGAACATTGCAAGGGTCACCGGGGGTCCTGCTGAATGGAGTCAATTGTGAGGGTGCAGGAAGAGGAACGCCAAGGAGTTCCTCTGCCAACGGAAAATGGATCCTGGATTTAAACCACTGTCTTGACAGTATTGAGCAACTAACAGAACTCATATGAAAACCAGCCTCAAAAGCAACCAAAGGGAAAGACAATTAGTGTGGAGTTCTAAAATGGACTAAAATGCACTAACAGCTTATGAAAATAAAAAGGTCTTTACTTCTTGTGAACATGGGGTCCAGGGAGTCTCTGGAGAAGGAATTTCATTACTGGGGTGCCACAAACAAGATCCTCTTGCAAGCATCTGTCCACAGCACCTCGTGATGCAGGGGCTGGAGATGACCTGAAATATCATTGCCTTGTCTTCAAGCCATAGAAATCTGGCTAGTCTCCTGCAAAAGCATTTGCTTTGGCTCCTGCAGGCACCATTTCTTCCTCTTATCTTAGAAGACATCAACTGCAGTTTTCCTTCTGCAAAATGCTTCCTTCAGCACTATTAACAGAAGCTGCTTATTCTTGTCTTAAACCTCCACTCCTTCAGTGAAGGGACTTCTCTTGGTGTGTTCTTTTCCATGTGACAAGCTGGCTTCGTGCCCATTTCCAGTGTCCCCCCTTGGCTAGTAACCCAATCTTGTATTTATTAAGAAGTTAATAAATTCTTGAGGGAGACCTTCTAAGTCACAACTCTCAATCTTAGAGGAATGCCCTAAGTGGCCATTTTTGGACAACTTCCCAGCTACCTTCTGCTTGTGTTTAAAAACAAAACAAAACATACTAACATCTTCTACTTTGAAGGAGCAACAGAAAATGAAACCCTCAAAGAGCAGAGAGTTAAGGACAGGAGCCTCCAACCCAAACCTCTTAAGGTAAGTGTCAACCTTGAGTGGAAGAGGCATACAGGGATTTAGACCAGAATGAGCAAAAGGTCCAGGAGTTTGAGGCTTCAATTCCAGCCTGACCAATGGTTAAACATGTGGTGATCTCTTTGTTGCCCACCCGAAGAAAAGAGCAGAGATTGGCCTGAAAGGTGAATTTCCATTAAAAAAATAAATAAACCAGCGGCTTAGAGCAGCTTTCCCCAAGCTGGTGCCCTACAGATGTCTGGACCACTTCTTTCATAATCCCTCCCCCACTACCATGGCCAATGACTTTGCAAAATCTGCTTTGAGCCACTCTGAAGTTGTGGGTGGCCAGCTAGAACACCGAGATGTAACAATCCGAATTTATAGCTCAACTGGAGAGTCGCTGTTTGATACAGCACTACATGCCAAGGAATTAGGGATCTTCAACGGAAAGCTCCACCTCTTACCATCCTCAGAGTAGTACATGCGTGTTACTAAGTGGCCAAGAGCATAAGGAACCATGCGGACAAAATAATGATTGGTGGAAGTTTTCATAAACATGTTTCTGTTCCATCTTTCAGTGTTAACTGAAAAGAATTATCTCTGAAAAACAGTTATCCAAGAGCTGTTTTTTCCCTTTCTTCCTTTCCCTTTCCTTGATCAGGTCCCTGTTTGCTGGGGCTCAACAATGCTATCCTTCCTCGGTTATGCCAACACTGGCATGCAGTGATAGCTTTGGTTTTACTTTGGTGCCCACTGCCGCACTTCAGGCATGAAACGCGTGGAGCACGTGCACGTCCAGAGAGAACAGTCTCCCATTCATAAACAGCCTCTGTTTCCCCACCACTAGTTCTGTAACTTTTCTTGTCACAAAAAAGGATGGAGAGGAACAGCTGCACAAAGCCTTTTGATGGATTTTCACGTTTCAGCCCTTAAGTAGGCCATTAATGTTTGAATGTTATTTTTGATTGGAAACCACCTTGAAAACTTTAGAGTGTAAAGAGTAGAGCACAAACTATCAAATACCTGGGAAAAATGAACTTAGCTGTGGTTACAAAGGCAGCCAACGTACAGAGGGAGGTTGGGGAACCTGTGACCCTTTGGCCTACAGCTCCTATCATCCTTCACCATTGGTGTGCTGTTAATGAGGACTCATAAAAGCTGTATCAAAACATTTGGAGGGCCAGCCGTTGCTACCCAGAGAGACCAGAGTATGTGGGAACGAGGACACTGCAAGGGAAGATCGAGTGGGAACTAAGTGAGCCTCGTGTGTGTGGAAACCAAACATTGCAGAAAGAACCAGTGGAATCCAAGAGGATCCAGGGTATCGAGACATATGGGGCGCTTGCTAAAGGAAGTGGAATCTGATGGGATCAAGGAATGGAGCAGAGTGAAGAGTGAAGTAGGAGCCTGGATGTTAATGAGTGACTTCTCCTCCTCAGCAGTTTTTCTACCCTACTGCACAGTTTTTCCACCCCCGCTCATCTCGCTGAGGCAGCACCTTCTTGTCCCACGGCCACACTCACCGTTCCTGTACTTCTGGCTTGCCCCCAGACACTGTGGGGCAGGCGCCAGATGCTGCTTTCCCCGAGGTGCTGTAGTGTGACCTTCAGACGGAGCCGGCGGCATGCTGAACTGCAGGGCTCACTTGTTGCGCCGCCAGATAGTAGCCCTCTGGGGCCCCCCGGCTGCCGCCCAGAAATCCTCGGCCCCCCAGGCTGCAGCAAAGAAGCCTGCAACTCCACACCCATCCTTGAACTTGGACGATGGGAAGGTTTTCCGCCTCAAGAGCAACTGGGAGCTCACTCGGGGACTGCTGGTGTTCCTGCTCTGCTCCTCTCCGCGGCTGGTCCAGAAAGCACCTGTGGTGAGACAAGGAGGCCCTGAGTCCTGGCCCACAACCCGCCCAGCCCAGTCCACCTCAGTCAGCCCCTGCCGGCTCAAGGGTACCCCGTTGGGCTTGGATGGGACTGTGGGCACTGCGAGAGCCAGGCTGCAAACGCAGACTTGGGGTGCTGGGTTTGACGGTCGTGCTGGAATGGGGCAGCTCTGCAGCTGGTAGCATGGATTGCTCATGTTGCTTCTCGTTGTGGAGTCGGAGGCTTTTGCGTTCCTCCTGTTGTGTAGGGTCCTTTGCATCTGCTGCAAAGTTGTGCCCGGCTGGCACCACTGCTAGCAGAGTAGGGGTCTTGGGAGCAAGGTGGGAGGGGTCGCCGATCCCTACCTGCAAAAGGTGCCTTGTGGCATGTTCAGGGCTAGGAGGTGCAGGGCCCCCAAAGGTTTCGGAGGTGCCTTGGGCAAGGCACCCCGAATGGGCCCCTCCACCAGCACGCCTGCCTTCTCAGCACCGGTGCCGCCAGTGGCTCTTGCCCCACCTTCTCTCTTGCGTCCTGTCCTTGCCGCCTCTGGCTTGCTTGGGAGGTAACGGGCCAAGAACAGAAAGGGTGTGGATTCAGCTCCTGCTTACTGCTGCCGGTGCTGTCCGGATGGATGAAGGAAGGCAGGAAGGAGCAGGCTGCAAAGCTGAGGAGCCGGAGATGGCCTGGGGCCATTCACAAGGCCCCTGCTTGGCGTGCATTTGACCAAGCCATGCTTACTCTCCATGGCCATCCTTGCACAGATGTTTACTGTGACAATGGTTTCTGCAGATGTGTCAGAGGCCGAAAGTACACAGTCAGCTGGCAGATGCAAAATTTCTGTCTCCATCAATCTACCAGCTTTTAAGGCGTCCTGAGTCACTCTCCAAATGTGTTTGCTGTAACCATTGATCCGGGCTCCACTTTGGGAATTTGTCCCCAAACCCTGTAATTTCTCTCTGTTCCCAAGCTCCTTTCCATCTCCAGACGAGTTTTGGGCCGCCGGCTGTGGAACTCCGTACTCCGTCTTACACTCTATGGACAGTTTGTGGCAGGCGAGACTCACAAAGAGATCAAGGGCACATTGCAACGGCTTCAGGACTTGGGGGTCCGCCCCCTCCTTGCCGTTCCCATAGAAGAAGATGTGGGGGAGGCAAAGGAAGGGTGAGTAGAAAGAGACGGGACAGGGTTGGGACCACTGAATGTCATGTAAAGTACTGAGGGTGGAAGGGAGGAGAATACTCTGGGCCTGCAAGAGTTCAGATCTTCTGAATAAGGATAATTACAGAGTGGGTTGCCTGGAATATTGTACTATTACACTCTATCCAGGATTTAGATACATCTTGTTAGAAAACTTTGAGTCAATGCTTGAATCATGGGGATGGGGAATCCTCTCTCCCAAACTAGGTTGTTCCACTTGGGTTTTGATTTTAGAAGGCTGTGAGGAGGCGTGATTTGGCAAGTCTGAAGACAGAACTAGCAAAGGAGGGGGGAGAGCTTCAGTTCTGGGGACCAATTCTGTCTCCCTCTGGCTCCCAGTCTTGCCCTCTGGGGTTCCCCAAAAGCTCAGCTCACCCCTTCCCCCAACCATTGACTACTTGGTGGATCTTCCTTGAGAACACCTCTCCTGCCACGGCGTAGTTACTCATAGTGATTGTGTCGCATACCATTTCTTGGTAGAAAGGTTGGGTATCAGTCTGATACACAAATAAAAATAAACACAGGCTTTACACACACACACAAAGCTGCCATCTTTGCATGCTGGCTTCACCCACGTGTCTTTGGCTCTGTCCCACCCACCCCGAGCTGAAAGACATTCAGCCCTCTTGGGTCGCACAAGCCTTCTCATGCGCCCAGACGGCTCCGTGCAGAATTCAAGCATCGCTTCCTACCACTGTGGTTTCACAGCTTACCAAGAAGGCTGGATGAGTCATGCTTCCTTTCTATCTGGGTCTGGGACAGGGAGCGGGTGGTGGGGTGTGCGCCTATTCTTGTTAACAGGGGAGTCCTGATTCACACCTCTTGTGGCAACATGCAAAACGCTCTTTTCATGACCGGGGTTTTGGTTTCAGGAAGTGGTGACTGGGGCCACTTTAAAGGTAGAAGGAGGTTTGTTGCTCTTAAAGTGGAGAGATACACACACATATATGTATGATACACACACACACACACGCACGCACGTATTACAACAGGCAAATTCAGAACTGCAGATGCGGTTTAGCAAGCAAAAGATGAATCCACCTTCCTGCTTTGGACAGTATTCATTTATCTGAAGTATATTTATGGCACTCCCCAGCCAGAAAGACTCCCAGAGTATTTATGTATAATGTATGGTGAAAAGATTGGACAGAGAAGTCCGGGCCTTATTGCCGCTTCCCTGCTCCTACCTGGCCAGAGGAGAGAAGGGTCACGCTCGCCCTCGGCTCCAGCCCCACCAGCCTTCCGCCTGTGATACTCCCCCAGCAGAGCACACCTGTGCAAAAGCAAGCCTTGGCAGGTCCCTGCCAGTGAGCAATGGGTGACCCTCCAGATGTTTTAAGCTGGGGCTATCAACCCAAGCTAGCGAGGCCAGTGGGGAGGATTATGGGAACTGTAGGCCAAACTCTCTCCCCTCTGCCTGCCCCTGCCCGACCGCCTTGGGAGGGGGAGCAAAAGGAGGGCAGCAGAAGCGGGTGCTTGGAGGTCATCAGAGGGCTGGGGGTGCTGCTTGCCCTGCACTGAGGAGGGGTCTTCTCTGCCCTGACAAGGGAGAGGTGGTATGACGAGAACGCCAACTCCATGATGACCTGCGTGGATCTGTCCGTGGGGAGCACCACCAACCCCATGATGCAGCTGAAGGTGACGGCACTCATGGCCGCTGAGCTCTGTGTGAGTCTTGTGGGACGGCAGAGGGACTTGGGACCTTCCTTTAACTCCGGAGGAACACTGTGGGTGGAGAGGTATTCTATGGCCGAACTAGGTACCTGTAGATATTGCTCCTATTTCCCATTATAACTATTTGCTTCTCTCTCTCTCTCTCTCGGTTATAAAGTCTATAAAAGAAGGACTGATATTTCTCTGGAAGGCCTTATTTCTTAGGCATTTGATTGAGAAGAGTTAGATCCAGACAGAGAAAATCCTACAATTGCATGATCCATGGTTGCAAAGCTGCAGAATCTGGGTTCATCTGGTGCAGAACATCAAGTTGTTATGGTTGCAGAGTATATGTGGAGGGAGGGAGGGAGGGAGAAGGGGCATAGCAAGACTAAGACCTCACCAGCACATGCAGTAGAATAATGACAAAATGGAGCATATAACTTCATGTGTTTGTTTTTTAACTCTCTGTGAATAAAATCTAGCAATTCAGGGGCAGGGTTCTAGCCCCGCAATTCCCTGATGTGCTAGCTTTCCACTTTCAGTGAGGGTTAAGAGCATGCATGAAATGGCACTGACCTACAATCTAAAAACTTTGATGCTCATTCAACATTCTGTCACTTCATTCTTCTGCATGTGTCGTCCAGGCCTAATTCTGGCTCCATTCTGGGAGTGTTGCTGGGAGTGGAGTTGAGTTATTCTGGTTTTATTTGGAATTTGCTTTTGTTCCTCTCTTCACAGAGGACTATTACTCTGCATTTGCAAAAGCAGGAAGGGATGTCTGACCTGAGCATAGAGAGGCTGGTGTCTGCCATGAAAGGAGAGGTGAGATTCCCCAAGTCTTCCCACCCCCACCCAGTTCTTTCCTGGGTCTCTGCATCTTGGCTAAATATATTTGTTCCCAAGAACACATTTTGATATTTATTCTGTTCTTCCACCACCACCACCACCACCACCACCACCACCACCACCACCAGGAACTGAAGTTTTGCTGCTTGACCGAAGAAGAGAACCAACATTTTCGAAAGTCATTGAGACGGCTCAATTCCGTAGCACAGGTACAAGAAACAATGGTGGTTTCATGAGCCCCTTCAACTGGTTCCAGTTATTATTAAACAACATAGTCTGGGAAGAAAAATGTATTCTCTGGTTCCAATCCTGGACCCACTTCCCTGGGAGTAAGACTCACTGAGCAAAGTGGAAATTGCTTTTGAGTAGGCATACATAATAATTTCTGTTCCATGTTATACCATGCATTGTTAACAACAGATTCACGTGGGGCACAGATAGCTAGGGTTTAATCTGCCCCAGCCATTGTGCTTTTGACACTGACCACGTTTGCATGCAATGACAGTCCAGGGATTGTTTAAACCGTGGTTTGTTGATGCTGAGCAGCAACAAGCAAGAGCACTGCCTCCCTCATCTTTGGCACTTCAATCAACAACTCAGGAACATCTAGTTGTTATGGTGACACCTGAACTGGAAACTCTGGGCTATTTAGATGTTTATCAAGCCAGAGTTAACTCAGCAACGATCTATTGTTGTTTTATGCCATCAAGTCATCTCTGTTTCATGGAGACCTGATGAATGAAAGCCCCCCCAAAATATCCTATCCGTGACATCCCTGCATAGATCTTCTAAATTCAAGGCAGTGGCTTCCTTTACGGAGTCCATCCATCTCATATTTGATCTTCCTTTTCTTCTTCTGCCTTTGACTTTCCCGTGCATGATTGTCTTCTCCAAGGAGTCTTGCCTTCTCAGGATGTGTCCAAAGTGGGTTGTTAATTGAAGGCTGAAGTGACCAGAGTGGAGGAAGCAATGGGCCCCCTCCTCTCACTAGATAACAGCAGTTCCTGAATTAAATAACCCAGGAACTGAAGCTGTTCAGAGGGCTGTTCTTATAGCAATCTGTAGTGAGAACATTCATGCATTTGTAAGCTTCCCAGGGTAACTTCTGCAGGTCAAGCTGCATTTAAAGAAACAGCTACAGAAGCCTGATGAAAAGTTGACAGCTCAGTTTCAAATACATGACAGAGCACCAGAGATTATTTTGTGGATGGTGCAGTTGTGGAGAACTAGGTTTCAGTTCCCTTAGATGAGTGAGCACACCTGGAGACAGAAAGGGCGCCAGTCACAAATAGAAGCCAATGATCCCCTGTAAAAATCCCCATTTGAAACAAGTGACTGTGATAAAAAAACCTCCTCTGGATGCACCCAAGGTCTCTTTTCTGCAATGTGCTTTCTTTTGATGTACACAAGCAGAATATAAGAGAAGGAGAACAGGCTTTTAATACAAGTCAGGAAACCCCTCAGAAAAGAAGTTTGGCGCTCCCGGTTTCTGCCAACTAGAGCAAGAAACTCTGTCTTTGCATATTTGCATGTGCAGTCTAAAATGGTCCGATGGATACACCTTGCAAGTCGTTCAAAAGCAAAGAGAGATCCCTCGCCTTTTAGGAAACCATCACTTAACGATCAGCACACATCCATTAAACATCAGTAATCATGCAGTATTCCCACTGCCAAAGAGGACTTTCTTTGGAACTCCGCTTGAAACCCTCCCTCAGTTTCATGTCTTAGGAAAGATTACTCGAAAATGCTTCTGGGAAGCCGTGTCGTTGTTTGTTGTAGTCTGGAACCTCAGTTATTGTTTTGGAGGACTGGGTGGAACACAGGATAATCCTTCCACTTCTCCAGCACTAGAAAAGTGGATCCGTTCTACCAAATGCTTCTCTTATTTTACTCTCTTCCTCTTCCTCTACAGCATGCGGTAAAAAAGGGTGTCCGTGTTCTAGTGGATGCAGAATACACCTATGTTAACCCTGCCCTGACTCTGGTGACTGTGGCAATGATGGCTACCTGCAACACACAACACCCATGGATCTGGAACACGTATCAGGCGTATCTCAAGGTGGGTCTCCTTCCCAAAATTGCCCTTCTCCTTCTGCCCACCGCACTTCCTGCAAGGGAAATGGCTGGCTCACTGGCGTTAGAGGATTCCTTAGCGCTTAGATGTTCCGTAGCAGCTACATTGCTTTTGACCAGTTCTGTCTTTCTCCAGGACACACTGGAGCGGATGCATCAGGATGCGGCCCTCGCAGACCGCTTGGGTGTGTGTTTTGGAGTGAAACTGGTCAGGGGAGCTTATCTGGAGAAGGAACGGAAGCTGGCAAAGGAAAAAGGATATTCCGATCCCGTCCAACCCACCTGGGAGGCTACCAATGAAAGGTGGGGGCTCTCATTGTTCTGTTCCAGGCTCTGCTGAGTCTGAACCTGAACCGTGGGAATCTCGGTCTGCCCTGGACTGACTCATGCATTCTGCTTGTGCTTATGTGACTAAAACTGCTCCAGCTGTGCACAAAGGAGACGCCTCAGCAGACCCTGGACAGGTCTCTGATCTGCAGAAGGATGAAAAGTCTTAAGATAACGGGTGGTGTGGGGTATTGACAGACTGAAAAGGAAAAAGAGAAAGAAAACAACAAGTGGAAATGGGAGTGGAATGCCCTGGTTGGACAAGGAGAGGATGGCGAGAGACCAAGATAAATAAAGAGGGTAGACAAAATTATCTGGTTAGGTAATTTCCTGGTATATACCAAGCCACTAGTTTAATATGTCTCCAGGACTAAAGAGGAGGCAACGATGAAAAAAATCAAGGATTGCGATCTAGCTGAGGTTAGGTATAAATGCATCAATTGGTGGAAAGCTTGCACTAGCTGTAAAAAGGTAGTCTACAACACAACATTGTGTCGCAGGTTCCCATTATTAAACTTCCTGCTGGGAATCTCCATCCGTGCTGAATGCCTATTCCCTTTTTCTGGGATACAGCTACGAGCGCTGCCTGGATTTCTGCTTGGACCGAGTGCCTCATTCCAAGGGAAAATTTGAGCTGATCGTGGCCACGCACAACGAAGCTTCTGTGATGCACACCGTGCAAAGGTACAAGGGTGCAAACGAGTCATAATGATCTGCCTTTATCTTCCAGAACCTACTCAAGGGTTGCCTCAAATGTCCCTTTCCCCAGGAGCTGTTTCCTCATGCCTCAAAGGGAGGCGTCACTGTACGCTATGCAATTGTGTAGTGGTAAATTTGCAGTCCAAGCTCTCATTGTGTCAGTCACCCTAATTTGGCTCTTGGCCCCAACGGCAGCCCCACTGCAGGCAGCTATGTGTGTATCTAAGTGTCTCTCTGTGTGCCTCTCTATTATCTACAGAAAGATAATCCAGAATCCACAGCTGGACAATATCTTTATTAGGATCAACCCACATTCCATGATAATGTGTGAACTTTCTCAGGAACTCTTCATCAGAATGGGAGGTACTAAAATCAGGGGATGGGAGAAAAATAGCCAAGTTCAACATGTGGCCAGGTGTTCCAGGCATGAGATCCAGCTACACCTGCTCTGTGACAGACATCCAGCACTGCTGAGCCTCTTACCAGGGATAAGTAATCTGTATACATTTCTTTAGAACTGTCCAGCAGTGTAGGCCAGTGTCAATATTATCCTCATGCGATCCACACCGTGGGATGGGTGGGATCAAGCTGAGATACAGAGGCACCTGAGTTGCTTATCGCCAGCCACGGTGAGTTTGTGGCTGAGCTGCAAAGTTAACCCGTCCTGCCGGCTCGTAGCGTCTGCCTGTGCATTGGTTGGCACATATGGAACGTGTTTGCTTTATCCATTTTAAGGATGGCAGAGATGAGCATTGACAAAGGAGCTGGACTGGTGTGCTTCGGGCAGCTGCTGGGCATGTGTGACCAGGTGTCCTTGGCCCTGGGTGAGTGACTGTCCTTGTTGATTGTGCCCTGTCCTCCATCCGTGGTCTACTGGTCCATTAGACATGCAGGCATTCACTGTGGCCGCCCATGCCTCCAAGGAGAATCCCAAAATCCAGGCAGTTGCTTTGATCCATATCAACAAATCACATCCAGCAGTTTTATCTCCACTGGGAACAGAGGGGTTTTTAATGCGCGTGGGTCTTAATTGCCCACTTGATACCAGGTCAGTGAAAAATGTTCTGCATGGCAACGGGATGCAATATATTACTGCAGGGAAAATTAATTTCCCCCCATCTGCTGTGAGATTTGCAGCTGTGCTCAGAACAAGCAGGGAATTCTGAGATGGGTAGCAAAAGACGGCATAATCTCTGCTAATAAGGAAGTGCCAGCGCCACACTCCTGTGAGCCCTGGTTCCACTACACCACTGTCCTCTGGTGCTCTTTTCCTTTTCCTTGCAATATGTTGACCTCCTCTCTCTTTCTTTATTCCTGCCCAAACCTAGGTCAGGCAGGTTACGCCATCTATAAATCTATCCCCTATGGCTCTGTGGAAGAGGTGATCCCCTACCTGACTCGCCGTGCTCACGAGAACCAGAGTGTCCTCCAGGGTATCCGAAAGGAGCGAGATCTGCTACGCTCGGAGCTGCGGAGACGGATCCTGAGGCAGCCTTGAGGGACTCTCAAATATCCCAATAAAGCACGCCTGTTCTTGTTTGCCAAACACATGTAAACAGGTCTCCATGGACCTCCACCCTCACCCTGGGCCACCCCCATGTCACGTTCCGCATGATCTTCAAAAACATCACCCTCTTGAGCGGCTGGGTGTCCGGCATCCCAAACCCTGACACTCACAGGGCTTCATGTCATGAGGCTGTCAACATTAAAATGACAACGATACCATATCACGCCTAGGTAGAGCTTAACCATGTGCCGTAAGGGTAATAGGTAGAGCTAGGACTATGAAGGCCTAAGGAGACAGAAGGAAAAGCAGGTGCGAGGGCCATTTTGGACTGGAGGAAGAGAGTGGCTAACAGGGGCAGAGTTATCTTCGCTGCAACCAGAGATAAGCTTTGTGGAGAACCTTTCACTCTCTTGCCATATTGTTGTTTTTCAGCATGATGGTGTGATACATTTTCAGGTGATCTTCAGGATTCCTCGAAGTGAAGCCTTACTTAATGGCCAGTTGTCAGGATTTGGAGCTCCTTAAAATTCAGGAATGGGAGTATTTGCCCATGTGGGCCAGCAGCCAAGCTGGTTTTTCCGTATACGGTGGTACTTCGGCTCACGAATGCCTCAGTTAATGACTAAATTGGGTCGAGAACAGAAATTTCAGAAAAAAATTGCCGCAGGTCGCAAACTCTGCATCGGGTGACAATTGCGAGCGTGCCCGCCTTCCCTGCACGAGCGTGATCTCAGTCGTGCTGCGGGTGGGGGGAGATGGCTGCGTTTGTGCTGGTGGGGGAGACGGCCACGATCTTTGTTGTTCTTTGTCACTTTGACTGAAATTTTTGTGAGTTAAAAGAAATAGTTGAAGAACGGATTAACCTTATTTACATTGACCCTTATGGGGAAATTTGACTTGGCTCATGACCAATTTGGGTCACGACCAGAGACCTGGGACGAATTAAGTTCGTGAGCCAAGGTACCACTGTACATGTTTACTAGAATATAAATGGGCCATATTCCCAATCCCAAAACATATTTGGGATTTGCATCTGCTTTGTAACATGGACTTCTGCTTTCCTTGCTTCAATGGACCACCAAAAAGAGGTGACAATAATTGACATGACCCAAATCCACAAAGAATTTTGGGGGCAAGTCCCCATTGCCCTGGTTAATAATGGGACATCTTTATTAAATTAATTAATCAATATCCCACTTTTTTCTAACAAATTCAAAACATCTTTCATCATTTTCTCCCTCCTACTCTCAATCTTATCCCCCAAACAACAACCCTGTAAGGTAGGTTGGGCTGAGAGTCTGTGGCTAGCCCAAAGTCAGTCAGTTGGCTCCATGGCTGAGCAGGGACTAGAACTCAGATCCCACAAGTCCCAGACCTATGCTCTTAACCACTACTGCATCCTAATGTAGGCTCTTGATATATGATAATCTCTACATTATATTATCTGTCACAGAAGATCCTAGCACTAGGAGTCGTTCCCCCACCCCATTTTCTTTATTCCATTTTCTTTAAATGATGTCGCTACATAGAAGTAACCCACAACACAGTAAGAACTAAAGAAAAGAAAATCCGGCCTATTTTTACTTATATCCTTTTTTATTATTATTTTTACTTGCATCCTGCTATTTCCCCTATTGAAATGGAGCACTCCTGATAAAGTAAGATCCAGCAAGGTAAAGCATTTCACAGGAGTTGCCCCTTATCCCTCCTCTGGGTCTCCCCCCTGTGCTCAGAAAGGGACCCCAGCAAGATATCTGCCCTTTTCGCCCTGATAGTCTGACGGAGTTGTTGCTGAAGGCCTTCCTTCAGCTGCCTCTTTCCCAGGCCAGCTGAGATGATGCAAGGCGATGCATGTGTTTTAATGGCATGCAGCTGAACACTGCAAACAGGAGCTGCAGGCAAGGCCACAGAAGGGGAGGAGGGGAGCCGGGGCTTTATATAATGGGCTTAATAAACATTGCGCATCAGGAAGCTGGGCTCCCGCACATATGGGCAGGAATAACTGGATTAAAGCCAGCCCTCTTGCCAAAAATGGCCAAAGGTGCTAGACAGAACAAATGGGATTTGACCACAGCGCCGTAACGGAAAGCGTCTGTGCTTCTGTCTCTGTGGACAGAACTTCAGGGTCCAGAAAGGGGTTGGAACAATGGGTGGGGGGCTGTTTGTTTAGGTTTTGCTTCTTTAGTGACTGTTGTTTTGCTGGAAGGCTATGAAAGCAGACACCGTTTGGCTAAAAACAGGAAGAGTCAGCAGACAGGTCTTGTGGGGATCCTCAAGAGAGGCACCCCCTTTCCCCCACCCATCATCCAGGCGCTGGTCCAAGCTGGGCTCATGGCCGGGCAGCAGGGGAATAGCAGCTCAGGAACCGAGCTGAATCTGTGTGCCCAGTAATGACCTTAGCCAGTCCTTGCTGCCCTGCCCGTTTCTCCCCCAACAGCGATTAGCATTAGTGATGGAGAAGTGGAACGGCAGCAGCTGCTTCAAGCCCCGTGGCTTATAATCTACCAAGGTTTGCAGAGTGGAAACAAGCAGAGCCGGGGGGCCTTTGGAATGGGCCAGGTTAACCGAGCTGCCAGGAGGCGATTCCCAGCTTCTCCCTCGCAGGACAAGCTGGCCCCACATTAGTCTCCTGGAAATGGCCAATCGAACCCAGGTGCTTCGGTTCCCAGGCCAGCTTCTGAAAAGATTTCCGGGCCCCTTTCCAACTCAGGGCTCCCATTTCCCGCTTAATCTGTTTATTTCAGCCCATATGTCAATCTTCAGAGCAAGGATTTGAATGCGGATAAGCCGCTTAAGGCAGGGTCAGACGTGAGCCACCAAAACGGCTTTTGCAACCTCTGCAGTCAGATTGGCCGGCCGCTGCCATGGTGGTGCCGCAAGAAACCAAGAACAAGGGAATCCTGTCCAGTGAAGCCTTTATTGAATGTGATTGCAGGGACGGAGGTGGGATTCCTGGGGCAGGTTGGAAGGCATTGCCAAAACGCAGCCAGCAGCTTAGGGGATAGATCGGATGGGTGCAAAAAAGGGACATCAGGCAGTCAAAAGCAAGATATTTGAGCTCCCATATTTCTGACCCCCCCATGCCCACCCCCCTTGCCTTACTCAGTCTCTTGTAAACTGAGGTTTGACCTCACCTCCCAGTTCCGACTGGGATTTGATGTGGAATTCCGCAATTTTCCTTCCCAAAAGGTGCTGTGCGTGTGTGTTCCGTCGTTGACAGCAGAGGGGGCGAGTGATTCCGTCAGCGGGACATCATCCTCACAAACTCTGCAAGGGAAACATTGCAAAGTGCGTCAGCATGTTTGGACTAGAACGGAGAAGCAACGGCACCATCAGGGTAGGACTTTGGGGCTGAGGACTATTGCCTCGTCCCCTCTCAGAGAGAGAAACCCAAAACCCCGCAGTGCTGACTGGACACGACTGAACTCTGCCCCTTCCTGCCCTGTTGTTAGAACACGTGCTTCGTTTGCGCAGGGTCCCGTTTTCATGAGAAGAACCTGTCGGTGTCCAACACCAGACTAGATGGACCAGATGTCTGACAAGCCGTGAGACAACTTCCTATGTTTTTAATGTATTTTACAAGGCGGTGCCATCTAGAGTTGGAAGGGAGAGTTAAAGCCATTACTGAGGTCCGACACATTACTATTCCACCATGGAAGCCAGTTTTCAAGTCTCCACTTAGCCTTGATGTTTGCTGAGCGACTTGGGACACTCTCCAGGTGGGCTTGTATGATCCCCCCCCCCCCAAAGCCACACTGGGTAGAAAATCACACGGTGGCCTGTTTGTCCCACAGCCTGCAACACGCCAGAGTGTCCTGAGCCAGCCAATAAAGCCAATCACTCCAGCAGTTGCTAAAAGAGTCCTTATTCCATACAGCTGCAAAATATTCACCAGCCCGAAAATACACTCAAGGTAGAAAGTTGCTCTCTCGCTCTGACTGACGTCACCCCAAACTTTGCTTATGAACCCTTCGAGGCCAGTTCTGGAGGGAGGTGCACTCTGGACGGCGCTTGCTGCCGCTCCTTCGATCAAGTTTCTAATTGCCCCAGCCGGCGAGTGCACCTGCACAACCAAGCATCCCAAACTGCCAGGGAACCCTCCCCAGCCTGTTCTCTATTGGCTTCTTTCCCACAATCAGGACTGCGAGGGGGCTCAGTGTTGGTCCTTGAAGTGCTTTGACACTTGCTGTCTCAGACTGGCCCCACTGGGGTAGTTCGCCACCTGGAACCTCTGTTCTCAACAACTCCAGTATCAGAGTGAGAACTCTGAGCCTCTACTGGGACAAAGATTAACTCCCGTTCTTCTGAGCCTAAGCTATTGTTCCAGCCAGAACAATAGATAAATAAATAGCTGTGATGAGAGAAAGGGGAGGCATCTTTAGGGAAGGCATCAACTTGCTACTTTTGTTTTTTAAGTCTGTGCAAAAATGTTTATACATTTTTGTGTACATTTCCCCTAATGTGTACATTTTAGCACACCTCTCTTGCAAGCATTTTTCTGCAACACAATGCTATTTTGTATGTTTTTCCCCATTTGTCCACACGTTCTTGTGCACACTGTCTCCTAAGAGATATACATTCTTATTTAGAAAACTGCTTTTTAAAATTCTGAAAGGTACAAATGCCATGACTTACCTTTAAATCCTCAACGAGCTCTCATGGGTGGAGCAAAAAATTCTTCTAGCCCTGAGCTACAATCATCATGTAACTGGAGCAGTCTAATAACACTTTAACCCTATTATCCAAACCCATTTAAGCCTATATCTTTTCACTCTATCCTCCCAAATTCTGTCTCCCTAGATCTTGAACGGTTTAACCCCTCACCCCATATCCCCTAAACCTATGATCTCTGGCCATCGATCCTATATTCCCCAATCTCTTCTCACCCTCAAAATCCACAGTCCCATCTCCGTTGACATCTGCTTCCTTCACCACATCGGCAATCTCTCTGGGGGTCAGGCGTTCCCCCATCAGCCGCTGCATGGCTTGATACAACTCATCCAAAGTGATCTCTCCATCTCCATTTGTGTCAAACTGGAACGAAAGGCCAGGGTAATTTTGAAAGGTGCTCAGAGTCCTGTTTTGGACCAGCGGCAAGGCAGGGGATTAAGTGAGAAGTGTGGCTAACATCCGCATTAGTTTAGGTTGGGCGCTAGTCAGGATTTAGAGCCAGATGATGGGCCCCTTCTGATCCCTGATGCTTCCTTCCCTGCTGAAGCCTCCCAGGAAAAGGAATCTTTGGTGCAATTTACAATAACATGGTTTCCAGGAAGTACAAGCTGCTTCTTCCAGAGAGATCTTGGCATTTTAGGGTGCTGTGTATGGGTTTATGTTTTTTCAGCAGGACAAAGAGCAGAGTGGGGAGAGCAGGTTGCCTTTCAGGTGATAGCACACAGTGAATTCATTACAAGACTAATTACACAGCACAGCAGTACAGGAAAGTGCATTATACGTTCTTGTGGCCATGGGTGTATGCCATATTTTGGCATTTCGAGGGGTGAAGTGGGACTAGGAGGGCACCACTGATGATCTGTTGGTCAAAATGGCTGAAGCCACTTCTCCCTAGAAGCCAAGATTCAGAAGGGCTTTAGAAGCATATATAAGACAAGGTAGGGATTGTTAAAGGGCGGCTCTTCACACCAGGTGGAAGACGTTTAACATGTTCTGGATGGGGCTGTCATTCCTCTAAAAACCATCTGGGGTTTTTTGGGATCCATCCCTGTTATTTGAGGCTAAAGCAGCTTGGGTGGCATGGAGTGCCTTCTACTCGTTTTGGTTGGTGGCTCAGCTACACCTTTGCCTGGATGGAGGTAACCTGGATTCAGCTCTCTCGACTCTGGCAACCTCCAGCTTAGATCATTGCAGTGTGATCAACATAGGACTGCTGGTGAAGGAATTTGCAGCCCTGTCAAAATGCACTAGCTAGATTAATAACAGGGACAAGAAGGTCCAAACACATAACAGAAGTTCTGGCCCATTTGCCCTGTCTGCCTCTTTGTTTCCAAGTCTGATCCAAGGTGGTGGTTCTGACCTATAAAACTTCACATGGCTCCATGACATACTTGAGGGAGTGCCGTTAATGGCATGAGCCCACCTGTACACACAACTTTCATAATCTGAGGAACTGCTCCAAGGAAGTTTTGGTAGGTGGCAAGAAGGGAAAGGGTCTTATTGGCTGCCCATGCCAAGGGGTGTATGCCACCGAATGCCAGGGGACAGGCAATAACAGTAGGAAAGGTCTACTGGCTTTATACTCCCCTGTTGTGCCAATATATTGAGTCTTTGGTTTGAGCTTTAAGTCAAGCTGGGTTGAAAAAGGCAGCCTAGGTAGGCCCAGCACCAGGGCCAGGATTGCTGCCAGGGTTCCCAGTTTCCTAGCAGGGCACACCAGCATCGCCTCCAGCCAGGTCCTCCTTGCTAAGCATCTGGCTCTGTAAATTTTTATTTTGATTTCCCACAATGCCTCCAGACAGCTACGTGGCGCACCCCAGAGCACTATGGGAAATCAAAATGGCAACCACCAAGCACCCTCTCAGCAGTGCTGTTTCCTCCCCTGTTTCCAAGTAAGTTCGGGGGGGGGGCAAATTTATGCCATAAGAGGGAGTCCTAAAGAGGGCACTTTGCCCATGGTCTCCTTAAACCCGGAGCCAGCCCTGCTTTGAAGATTGCTAAGTATTTTCTGGTTGGAGAAATTGGGGAATGAGATCAGCTGGATTTTCTGGGGTGTGTGGAAGGGGATACATGCAAGAAAAATGAGGCTGGGAGAATGGACTCCAAGGTCCCAACCCACCTTACCTCCTTGAAAGCATCCCTCATCTCCTGAAGTCCAATCATGCCTGCAGTCTCTGCCAGCAGCTTTGGGGTCATCATTTCCACAAAGTCCTCGAAATCCACACGTCCCCCAACTACAGTTAGAGGAGAGGGGATGATGATGATGATGATTGCATTCCATTATATGCTACACCATTCTTCCTATTGCAAGGAACCCAAGACAGCCCTCACCTGCTCTCAGTCTTATCCCCACAACAACAACAACCCTGTGAGGTAGGTTGGGCGGAGAGCCTGTGACTGGCCCAAAATCGCCCAGTTGGCTTCATGGCCAAGTGGGGTCTAGAACCCAGAGAGAGTCCAGTCCTCTCACCATTACGCCACAGTGGCTTAGCATATTACATAGATTAAAATACCTCATTGAAAAGTGTCTCTAGGTGTTTTACAATTCAAAATAGCATCATCATGCAATGAATGTGCCAATGCAGGATAAACTGGGATATCAACCTGAAAGAATAGGACAGACTCAGTTTGGTGCTGAAAAGGTAGCCAGGTGGGTACCAACCCAGCTTACCTTTGGAGAACATTCCAGAGCTTAAAAAAAGTCTTCCAGACATCCAGCGAGATTATCCAGACATCTGGGCTTCTCCCTGCGGTTCCTAGATGAGGAATGGGGACTCGAGAGGGGTGACAATCCCCATCATCACCTGAAGCGACCAGAAGAAGCTACAGAAGAGCAAGACCTGGTCGACAGATCACCTGGGACAGCCCATCCTGCTGCAGCAGAGGCCTTGCGTCCAATGGCAGGAGGAACATGCAAGATAGACCTGTCTTTATTCCTGTGCTTGTACATTTTAAGTCCGCTCTTCCTTTTCCAGAAACACTTGCATACCCCTTCACGCTTTTATCCTCACAACAACCTTGTGAGGGAAGTTAGACTGAGGGGCAAACTAGTCCGTGGTATCAAAGCCAACGTCACCTTCGACACACACTTTTTAAAAGGCAGGGCAGGTGGGTAGGGTAGGGGGCATGAATTGATAACGATCAGCATCAAAGTAAGAGAGGAGGTATAATTTAACCCTCCTCTGCTGGGGTCCTACTTTTACTTTGTGGTCTTTTTATTTTTATTTATTTATTAAAACATTTTTATGCCGCCCCATTCGCCGAAGCCTCGGGGCGGCTTACAACATAGATAAAACAATAAGTTAAAATATCCATATAAAATAATCTTAATTAAAACACACATTATAAAATAAGCCGCCCTGGCCAGATAAAATTCAATTGTATTTAGCATTTAAAATGTTGCTTAAATAAAAAGGTCTTAGCCTGGCGCCGAAAAACAAATAATGACGGCGCCAGGCGGACCTCTCTGGGGAGCGCATTCCATAACTTAGGCGCCACCGCTGAGAAAGCCCTTCTCCGAGTAGCCACCCTCCTAATTTCTCTCACGGAGGGCTCCCGGAGAAGGGCCTCTCCCGCCGATCTCAGGGGGCGACTGGGCAAATATGGATGTAAGCGCTCCTTCAGGTTACCTTCAGGTAAGTCTTACATGCCAGGTCACCTTCCATCAGCCACTTCCTGTCTGGAACAAACTTGAGGTGATATTAAGTCCGTCCTCACTGTTAATGTGCAAGTTTGATTAAAGTACACCAAGCTGCCGGGTGTTTGTGCGCTCATAATACGTGGGTTGAGGGTTGGGATTGGGGTTGGGGTTGGGTAGGGAAGCAGCGAAGTTGAGGGTTGGTGGAAAAATCAGTCATTTCCTGTCCTACTGTGGTCTTAACCAAAGCGCCCTTCCTGCAGTATTTACATTTTCAGAGGAAAGCTCTCATACATGCCAGGTAGAGCATTCCTTCCAAAATGCAAATAGCAACTTATTGGAGGAGGGGGAGATTGCAGCTGGGAAGAAAGGGGTTAACCTCCTCCCTGCACCTTCACAATCTGGATAATTATCAGCCCACACACATAAAACATGGCTGGTTTTGCATATTAATAAAATGTGAACATGAAGCGCAGGGCAGATGTAAGACCAGATGGCCAGGGCAACTTCTTCTTCCTTCTCTTTCTCCTCCTATATTTTTTTTTTATACTGATAATTTTAATTTTATTTTTGTAAATCAATGTATTCTTTGTATTTTTATATTTAATGGTAATTTATTATGTACTATTGTATTTCAATGTATTATATCATGTTGTAAGCCGCCCCGAGGTTTCGGCAAGGGGCGGCATAGAAATGCTATAATAATAATAATAATAATAATAATGATGATGATGATGATGATGATGATGATGATGATGATGATGATGTTGGTTTTTCTGAGAGAGAATGACTGCTCTTGAGTCACCTGGTCAGTAAAACTATTGTACTGCACCAGCTCTTATTGCTACCTGTCACTCCCCTTATAACTCACTTTTGTCTTTCAGATGGCAAACAAGTCAGGGGCAGGAGCATTTGTTTATTACATTTATATTCTGCTGTTTTACCCCCTCCAAAGAGTCCAAGGATGCATGCAAGTTGCCCCACCTTCCTTTTTATCCACACCACAACCCTGGGAGGTGCATTTGGCTGAAAGAAAGCCCATGACTGATCCAAAGTCAGGGACCGGCTCCATGACCTTCATGACCAAGTGGGAATTGGAACCCAGATCTCCCAACTCTCAGTCTGGCACTCCAACCGCTCCACAATGCTGGACCCAGAGTCTGTCAGGGCTTGCCCTTTAGGCTAGATCCAACACTTTGCAGAGAAAGAAAATAGGTTTGCCCCATAGTTTACCTAAGCAGGGAACGTATGGACCTCTACAGGTCGCTGGGCCGTGAGGGTTGAAGTCCAACAACATTTGGAAGGTCAGTGGCTCCCTGCACCTGAGCTAGGTATTCCCCTGCCCCGCCCTTCCCCATGTCTCAGATCTGGGGCACTTACGATTCATGTTGATCTGCTGAGACAGCTCTATGAGCTCCATCTCCGTTGGCATGTACCCCATCGTCCTCATGAGGTTGCCCAAGTCTTTGCAGCTGATATAACCATCTTTGTCCTTGTCAAACTCCTCAAAGGCCTCTCGGAGCTCTGGTTTTGCAAAATAACAATAATGTAATTACATAATGCACTGAGGATACCACGAGCCCTTGCTTGTCTTTGCCTGTTTTAAAGCTCTAGGTTAATTATTTCATTATCCTACTTCAGGGAATACTTTCTATGTCAACTAGTCTACCAAGGGACCCTTGGGTATCCTCTAGAGAACTCCTGTGCATTGCAAAGGATTTTCAAGTACATTTGAAGACAGCTTTCCCCAACCTGGACTATGAATTCCAATTATCCCCAGCTAGTTTTGCTGGGACTCCAACGCATCTGGATGATAGCAGGTTGCAGAAGGCTGTTCTAAGGCCTCACTGCCACCCCTTACGAACCCAGCCTGTGGCCAATAGTCCCCTACATCTTTGCATTTCAGGGAAAGATTGGTAGGGACAGGAAGAACTGTCTTCATTGGAAGTTAGTCCATTGCTAGCTTTTCGATCAAGAATCCCCTCGTGGGCTTCTGAAGAACCTCAAAATTTCCCAGAAAAATCATCACTCAGAATCATGAACTCATGCATTTGTTCCTGCTTACCTTCAATCTCATCTGCACCCAGTTCCCGCTCCTTTAAAAGAGAAGTAAAGCCATTCATTGCAATGCATGCACAGGCAAAGAAACCTCAGAAGTCCCTCTCCCAGAACCCTGACCCACAGAGCTGGAGAAATGAAGGATCCAGAAGTTTTAACTCCTAATCCTTTTTCCTCCCAGCTCACCACCTCGAGTCTGAAACAAAGCCTTCTCTGTCCCGCAGACCAGTCAAAATCATTGCTCCGAACTGTCAGAGCACGGTAATGTTGTAGCTGTTAATAGATCAATATTTAGAGGCACAGAGAAGGGCAAATGGGATCCAGCAAAGAGTTGGAACTCTGCCCAGAATGACAGATCCATGCTCACAGTGAGCTGGAGGGGAGGGGGAGAACCTCCAAGGTCCATGGAACTCAGTGACACAATCAAAGAGCCCACGAAGGAGCAACAGGGTAGCCACCAAGTACTGGAGACAACCACGCTAAGACAATTCCATCATGATTTCTGACTCGTGGGACAGCATTCTTCAAGCGAGTACAAGAGAGGGTGAGTCCATCAACTGGACGCAGCTGATGAATCCCGAGGATAACAAACATGCTGCCGACATCTAGGACAGTCTGGGATGGATGGTGTATGCTTTAGGAAGGGAATTTGAAGGAGAAAGTTCAGGGAGACAGTCTTGCCTACTCCTAACAGAGACCCAAAGGAATGGGGATCTATTCCTAGTACTAAGCTAGCATTCGGGTGTCCCTGGATCCAATCTTTGACTGGAGAGATAAAGAACAGCTGTGAGCAAGATGCAGCTTCCTGTGGCTCACTCAGCGGTTTCTCTCATTCCACTCTCACATCTGGCTAAAAGATTTGGCTCAATTTTGGAAATAATGGGAGGAAAAACAATTTACCAAAAGCAAAAGTGAGAATTGGAGCACCCAGTATGAGCAGGGCTCATTCTTTCAAACCACCCTCAATTTTCTAGAAAACAACAGTATATCCTATCTAATCTTCTTGACTTTTTTCCTGAAGACATCCAGGAGTTCTGGTCCCCTTCTTGCCTCTCACCCTAATCCACCTTCCTCCTCTTGAAGCCTGGCCCACCAAGATGCTCTACCAAAACCTGAGCACCAGAATGCTTTCCAAGAGCTGAAGCTGCTATCCTGGACTGGTTCATCCCCCCATGTTCCTCTTTGGAAGATTCCTCCATTGAAGGGGAAATGGGAGCCCGCCTCTCTGGATCTGCTGCATTATAGGACTAGACCCTTCTTGCCAGCCCCAGGAGAGCACATACCCCATGCTTCTCAGCAATGCCCTTGCGCAGAAAGATGCAAGCCGGTCCCAGGGTATTCTGCATGGCGCTCTGCAATGTCCACTCCAGCGTTCCTGATTACTCCTGTCCCCTTTAGGACAAGAAGAGAATGTCTTACGCTGAGGGCGATTTAGAGAAGGGGAAAGGGGATTATCCCTCTGTTCACATCCGCTCCTTTCCGCCTCTCCTCCTCCACCATCACCCAAGCTTTTTTGCTCTCTTCTGTTCTGGCTGTGACATCTGCTGAATAAATCCCGCCACTCCTCCCCAGATTAACATCTGCCACATGATAACGGATGGCAAGCAGAACTCCAGAATGCTCAGCATGGACACAGGAAGCGACAGGGTCTGGAGGGCTGGTCTGGGGGCGAATGGAGGTGGCAAACGGTGAAGCTGCCGATGTCTGTTGCACCTGCTGATTAGTGAGCTGGAAGGGAGAGTGGTGGTAGGTTTGACCCAACACTTTCCAATATTCTTGCTGGTTCTGGGACATCACCTGGCAATGAGTGAATTTTGGTGTCTTGGTACTGCAGGAAACTAGATATTCAGATCACCAAAAAAGGCAGTCTTTTCTATTCAATGCCCATTGCCTCATTTATGGGCTGGATCCAGATCCTGTCATACCTAGAGCAGACCTATGGATTTCGTTGCAAATTCTACAAATTATGGTAGGCATGTCATGACGGGAGCTAGCTGGAGCCGGGGGTCAGACTTGATGACCCAGGAGACCCCTTCTGACTCATTCTGTTTCTATGTTTCTCTGTTAATTATAAGGGGCCCTGTTCATTTTAACTGGTCTACTCTGAGTATGATTGGACCTGGATCCAACTGTATATGCATAAAGGCCAATTCTGGCATAATAGCTGTCTGACAATAATGAGGAAGGCAGTGACCACATGAGTGGTGCACCTGTTGAGCTGCTGTCTGACTGAAGATGAACCATTTCAAGGCCTCTCCTTTCCTGGGCTTCTTTATTCTGGACTTGTACCAGGCAGGTCTTCAGATAGAGGACTGTCCACTGTAAAATGGAACCAATGGCTGCCCTCTTGTGGGTGGCATCTGCCATTTTGACCATACCACAAGGGTACCAAGAGAAGTTTTCCTGATATAAAATGCGTATTTTTGTTGCTGGAGGTGCAGCTGCCTGGTAAAGCAAACTGTCACCAAAGGGCCCACGGGGGCGGGGGGGGGGGGCGACGACTCAATCAGACCTGGTGCAAGACCTGGTCTCAATCCACAGAGGTGCCCATGAAGATCTGGCCTCTGAGAATTTGGAATCTAGTTATGTATAATCTAAACCAAAGCTCCCAGCTAAGGGAAGGTTAATGCTAAATGTAAGTCAAATACAAAAGCATTGAACTTCAGGTACATGGACTATATCTAACCCACTTGGGTCACAATTCAGCTTTCTGGAGTCTCTCACTCTGACCCTATCCTTATCCACTTCCCCTTGACCTCCAGTCATTTGGTGGTCCCCTACCTCCTTACCTCCATCTCTGTATAAAATGTCAAAATGAAATGTTTCATTACTAGCAGCATTAAGCCACAATAGCTGCACCTTCCACTGTATCCAGCACAGGAAAGCAGCTCCAGGAAGTTTCTCCAAACTTGAATTCAGCCCTCTGGCTAAAAATGGTTTGGCAGCCCTTGTCTGGAAGGCTCTGGAGAAGCCGTGGTAGAAGGCTGGATCTGGCTTGCCTAGCTCCGGTGTAGGGATGGCAAGGGACAGAGGATGAAGAGAAAGCAGGATGGAGAGGCTGCAGGTGCTGGGATCTGGGGACCCCGCTCTCCTTGAGAACCTTTGATCTCCTTGCACAGCTGCCATGGCAACCAGGTGAGTTCTTCTCTTTCCCTCACTGGTTGCTAGGAGCTGGTGTGGAACTAGAGAGAGAGAGGGAGAAAGAGAGAGGCTGGTGCAGGGATGAGGGGCAGCAGGGAATATGGGACATGGGGATGGTGGGGTGGGAGGTAATTTGCATAGCTGTCGAAGGGGGTGGGCTTAAAGATCTGTATGATGGGCGGGGGAAAGCATCCCAAAGGAAGGGAGCAAGAAACAGCAATCTCATGGGGGAGCAGCCAGCTTTAGGGACATAAGAAGCTGCCTTGCCTTCCTGGGATAAATCCTTCAGACAGATTACCCAGTATGGTTTGCTCAGGCTGGCAGCAACTCTTCCTAGGTTCAGGCAGAGAAAGGCCAGCCCTATCAACCTGGTTATTCTTTAAATAGATATACTGCAGGCAAAACGCATGCTCTGTTTCTTGCCTCCTCCTCCCCTCTACCTCTGCCTCCCCCAAAGCTCCTCCCTCATCTTTTGCCAGGTCGGAGTATTTGTGTATCCTAAAATTGCAGGATGCAGAACCTCAGGCCTGGTAGCCAAGCAATCGGACACTCTGGGCTTTCCCAGATGGAGCTACTCCTCCCACTGGCTCCCCTCTTCTCCTAACCACTAATTATTGGGCAGTTCCCCTGCTTTCCTCCATCCAGGCTGACGGTTCCAATGCCAGCGTCGTGGTGTGTACACTCCAGGGTTCAGTAGGAACTGTTAAGGAGACATCAGTGGTGCTTGAGCCTCATACTGGGTGCAGCAGCATGGCCAGCTCCTGGTCAGCTCAAACAAAAACCCTCAGCAGATGCACCACCAGGCAGTCTTCGTCGCAATCGGCAATCCCTGCTTTCCCCCCATTCTAAAAAAGCAGAAACGTCCATTCCTTTGGTTCTGGTTGCTGCAGTGAGCACTTAAAGCTAAATTGGCTGCTGTGTGTGTGTGTGTGTGGGGGTGTATTTTGACAACACCCTCTTTCTCTTTTGCTCCACCCACCTCTGGAATGTAAGCCCCCAAAGTTTTCCAAAGTGGAATTTGGGGTGTGCTATTGTTTTACCCCGAGAGCTTTTCTATACAAGGCTTTTACTGGGCGCTCGTGATTCCTTGCTTGTGTCATGGTAGTTTATGAGTGCTTTGCACAGTGGTATTATTCTCTGCTTTGTTTTGCAGCCATTTCTGTGGCGTTTCTCAGGTGGGGGATTGTTTGGTATGATCTATAAATGGTGGCATGAAATGCTTGAGTGTTCACACAGTTCCTCTATACCAGAATGCCATCTAGGGGCTATACAGTGGAACATACAGAAAGGCAGAGAAAGAAAATCCCTTAGGAAAACATGTGTAAAGGAGTTGATCTTAGATCTCTCAGATTGGTTCACATAACCTTTGAATTGGAGTTCCCAGGGAGAGATGTTGTCATCTCTTACAGCCAAAGCATGTGCGTTCTGAGTTTTCATTCCACTCTGGCCAAAATATTGCAAAAGGGGCTCTGAAAGACAGAGAGCCAGTGTGGTGTAGTGGTTAAGAGCGTGGGACTGGGGCTCAGAGGATCTAGGTTCGAGTCCCCGCTCAGCCATGGAGCCAACTGGGTGACTTTGGACCAGTCACAGACTCTCAGCCCAACCTACCTCACAGGGTTGTTGGTGTGGGGATAAGCTGGAGGAGGAGAATGATGTAAGCTGCCTTGAGCCCTTTGTAGGAAAAAGGAAGGATATAAATCGGGAAAAAAAAGTGCTAATGTTAAAAGGATGCAAGACCCCCCTCTGATCTTACCTCTCCCCCCCACTAAAGACCCGTACCCCCGGGCCATGCAGTCCACACGCCGGGGTCGCCTTTCCATAGTGCCAGGGACAAGCACCCTTCCTCAAGATAATGTTACAAACAGTCCTTCCATCTCGGGTGACCTTCGGCTACTCCACATGATGTAGGTAACCAGAAGAGTGGCTGAGGATGTGATTATGGACCTTATTTTCCCACAAAAGTCTATAAGATTCCCTCTGGAATTATTATTTTCCAGTTTGTTTTGTGCAAAATTCAAAAGACTCACTGGGACATTTTAAGTCCTGCAATGTTTGGGTCTGGGGTTTCATGAGGACTGCTGTCCCACTTACGAATTGGCCCGTCTCCTAAAGCCTTCAGCAGTGGCCCTGGTTGTTGCCTGCCTGAGTGGGAGGTAGGGTTGGTGCAGTTGTAAGAAGGCCTCACCACTATGGTAGGGAGAAGACAGACTCACTCGTAAGGCGTATAATTCAAGGGGCCTTACCCTAAGGACCCCCAAACCAGGAGCCAGTAGTAACAGCTGGCAACATGGGGTGTCTTTCTTAGTAGTGGCTCTGGAAATCCCCTCTCTGGAGATTCCTATGGCCCCACAGGGCAGTCTTTTTGGCAGGCTGCCAAAATCCTAATGCTTTTATTGGGACTTTTCTGGCCTTGACTGAGTTATTCGTCCAAAATGTCTCCTTCCTTTGTGGATCTGATGGAACAACTTTCTGCCCGTGCTGTTTTATTTTGATTTATTGCAGGCCTCATCTTTTCCATTTTCTGTGAATTTGTTAACCACTTTCAAGGCCTGTGGCTAAAAAAAAGACAAGAAAAAAGCAGCTTCAGAATGATAAAACGGCCAACTGGCTAAATAAATCAAAAACACTTTGATCTTCCTCACCCCAACAGAGATTGCGGCGATCAGCTCCTCTGCTGCCAGTTCAACAATGATGGGACGAGGGTCGCGGCAGGAATGCACAATGGCAGCATTAAGGTCAGTCCCGTGGGCAGCGATCCTCCCTGATCCCACAAAAAACGCACCGAACTGTCTGAGGTTCAACCAGGGTGAACTGATGCCAGGGAATGCCCCCCAGATATGAGGGAGGGGTGCACCAGGAATCCCAACTTCTAGACTGTACCCAGCATTCCTTTGCTTTGCTTTAGGGCCTCCACCAAGAGTGGGCAAGGTTGGGCACCGAACGAGGGTCCGTGCCCCAGCAGGGATGCACTGCCAGCAGTTTCTTCTCTTCACCATTGCCACCTGCCTCTCACTCTGCCCCAGGCAGCCGAGGGTGGGAGTGGATCTCCCCTGTTGTATTCTTAGTGTCAGAATCTTGGAATCTCAATTTTAGAAGAGGAAATAAAACTCAGGTTCGTGGGAAAGACCAAGCGTCCAGACCACCTGAGGCTTTATTGTCTTACCCCCAAGGTTCCCGCGGTACTCAGGATAATGCATGCATTGCC